ATGTCACCAAGATACCGTGTGAGATGTAACGTGTTGGGCGACTGCATCTGTGTAGTATTGGTATCGCCTTTGATTGCCAGGACCCCTGTCATGTCACATCATTGTCATTTCTTTTTCGTGCTGAGCATATGGAGGATCCATCACCCATTTCTAAAGATTGACAAAGATACCGTGATTTTGTCTTTGCCTTCTCTGAAATGACAGACATGTAATGGTAAATCTTAAAGGACATGAAAAAGGTTAAAAATGAAAATTTTGTCATTGGCGTGACTTCACATTATAACGTCATATAAATTCAGTTGTGTAAGTTCCCACTAACCTTCCTGTTCTGTCCTTTCCTGTACTGTTGTTACCTTTTAAAAGAACATTTATTTTAGTTTTTAAAAAGATTTTTTTATTTATGCATACAGAACTGGGGTACAGGCCAGAGGTCCAAGAGGTCAGCTGTGCCATGTGGGTCACCTCCCTGGCCCGGGATCGAACTCATGCTGCAGTGGCTGCGGACAGCTTCATAGTGCTGCGCTTTAACCCATTGTGCCACCAGGGAGGGCCCAAAGGACATTTAAATATGGTTTAACCCTGTGGGTCTCGGGTCTGGTGTGATGTCCAGGATGGCCTGGGGAGAGGCGACCTCACGATTTCCTTTCCTTCTGTCAGGCTCTGCTTTTATCTGTTATGAGAAGGTGCTTGGGAAAACAAAATGCTATGAAAACCACCCTGATTTCGCTAATGTCGAATGCAGTATTGGTTGCTGCCTTTGTTCTCTGCTGCTCCCAGGTGTTCTTCCCCTGCCAACACTTGCACTAAGCTGTGAGGCCACGTAGAAGGTCTCCCCCATAGAAGCAATGGGGGTCCAAATACAATTGAAAAGGGGCTTGCTGGATCTTGCTCCAGCAGGGCGGGGCGAGGCCCTCTGTCCATTTCCTAGACACTGTTGGTCTAGACACTGTTGGTTTAACGAACAACTTGCAAAGTCTCCAAATTCTTGGCAGTGGTTCTCGGGAAGCCCACCTGAGTTTAGTCCTCAGTATTCCAAGGCCCTGCCAGGTTGCTTCTACTGGCTCTGCTGGGTTTACTATTGTTATTTTTTTGACCTTTCTTTTAAAAATGATCTTTAAACTCTGTCTCATTTTAATGATTTCATTATTTTTTTTTCTCGGGCACTTGAGATAGAATTGCCATATAACACTATACTGGTTGCAAGTGTCGGGCTTCTTCTGTTCCCTCTCTTTTAAAAAAAGATTTAAGTATTCAAGAACTGGGGTACAGGCCAGAGGTGCGGAGGGTGGGGTGAGAGGACTCATCAGAGACAGAGTGGGGAGTGGAACAGGTCCTGAGGGGAACAGTGGGGAGACAGGAGAGGGCTGCCGCGCCATGTGGGTCACCTCCTTGGCCGGGGATTGAACTGAGGCTGCAGGGCTGGGGCCAGCTTCCTAGTGCTGTGCTTTAACCTGTTGCGCCACCAGCGAGGGCCCTTCTTCTGTTCTCTTGCCAACATGACATGAGTTTGGAAGAAGCTAAGGAGGGAAGGCGTGATGATGACTTTCCCATGGGGAAACCAGGACCAGATATAATAATGCTGCCCCTCAGCGTAGGGCCTTTTCCTCTGGAGTCTCCAATCACCAAACTGTCATCCACTGGCGGCTCACTTGGGATGAGGATTAATGTAGGATTTGGGCTGGAATGAGTGTGTTTGTAACTTAGTTCTTTTCAAGACGATAAACCAGACCCTCTCTCCCTCCATGGCACCGTGGCAACAGGCGGCAGCTCTCTAGTTTCTTGGGGAGCCAGCTCAAGCCTGGTCCCATGCATTGATTTTTTTTCTATTTCATGCTTTTCTTGCTCTTGCTCCAGTTTTACGTAAACACCTGCTAAGACAGGCAAGGAAATGGAAATCACTGTCTTGTGTAACAGAGCACAGTAAACCCACAATGATGGGACTTGTCAGAACCACTAATACGGTAGAAAATATTGGGGGAGGCAGGGCGGATGTCCAGTTTTCAAGTTCTTTTCTACTCTGGACTCCCACTGCACCTCCTTGGCTAGCTCTTATCACACCAAGCGCTTTCTAGGTTAGTTACAGATATCATTTCCTGAGTTGCGACCAAACACCTTGCTTTGTTTCATTCATTGTTCATGGCAGTTCTATTCAGGAGATACTACAATAGAATTCATTTTACATACCGCAACCTGAGGCTTAGAAAGGATACGTAACTATAGCGTGGACTCAGTTCCTAGATGAGAAACACTTCCATCTACTGCTCAGTAGAGGCCGAGAAGAAACACCAGTCAGTGGTTGCTGAGCACTGGGGCCCTGGGCTGGCTGGGCAGGGGCCCCCATAATAGCCGTGGGATACTGGTGGGGGTTCTGTCCTGTCGGAGAGCTCCCACGCAGAAGTGACACATTCATCTTCTGCCATTTGCTCGTTCATGCATCTGTTTTTTGAACCTAGCTCTTGCCTAGCAGCAGGTGTATGGCATCAAATAAGAGGCCACAGAACTCTGCATTGTTATTTTGAATGTGAGGTATTAGGCTTAGTGGTGCGTCTGCTGGTAGGAAATAAGAGGGGGGTCACTGGGCACAAGCTCTTCGAGAGACTGACCCCGCAATGAAGTTTTTTTTTTTTTAAGATTTATTTACTTATGCATACAAGAACTGGGATACAGGCCAGAGATGCAGGGGGTGAGAGGATTCACCAGACACAGCGTAAGGAGAGAACAGGCAGATCTACTAAAATACACTGCTGAGGGGAGCAGCGGAAAAACAGGGGAGGTCTGCTGTGCCATGTGGGTCAGCTCCCTGGCCGGGGATTGAACTCGTGCGGAAGCGGCTGTCATAGTGTCATAGTGCCGAGACTTAACCCCTGCACCACCAGGGAGACTCCTGAAGGAAGTTTTGAGGGATATGTTGGATTTAATTAGACTGAGGGGGAAAGGATGAGACAATCTGAAAGATGGTACAGAGGAGCTGTACCCCACTGGGCTAGGAGTCACGGGGCGGGGGTGCTCTCAGGGATGGTTTTCTTGTTTTGGTGCTATGGTGTGTGTGTGTGTGGGGGGCGGATTTGGATGGTGCAGAAGAGCCAGCGGGGAGCAGGTGCAAAGGTCCAGGGAAAGATGGTGAGGACCCCGATCAGCGTGGGAGTTGAGGGTGAAGAGAGCATTTGGATTTGAGAAAGACTGAGGAGTAAACTCAGAAACACACAGTGATTTCTCAGGGGCGTGGAGAGGGGGAGGGAGGCGGCAGTGGCTAAGGGCAGCGTTGGGGATTCGGAACAGAGCCCCCTGGTCAGTGAGTGAGATACTGAAGGAATGAGTGAGTGGGAGCTCAATGGGGATGAACTTCCAAGGACTTCTCCTTTCTAGAACAGTGCTGGTGAGGAGGTGGGGAAGAAGGAACCCTCAGACACTGTCGGTGGGAATGTAGGCTGATCCAGCCCCTGCAGGAAACAGTGTGGAGGTGTCTCAAATGTTAAAAAAAAAAAATAGGCCTACAATATGACCCAGGTCTGTCACTCCTACCTGAGTATCCGCCCGAAGAACATATTAATAAAAACACTAACTGGAGAATATAGAACCACTGCTGTTCACTGCAGCACTGTTTATAATAGCCAAGTCATGGAAACAACCTAAGGGCACAGTGACAGATCAGTGGGTAAAGAAAAAGTGGTATATAAACATAGTGGAATACTATGAACATGATGGGATCTTGACTTTTTTTTTTTAAGATTTATTTATGTATGCATATAGGACTGGGGTACAGGCCAGAAGTGCAGGGGCGGTGAGAGGGTTCCCCAGAGACAGAGTGGGGAGCAGAACAGGCCGACTGACGAAGTACACTGCTGAGGGGAGCAGCGTGTGGGTCAGCAGAGGTCTGCTGCGCTCTGTGCGTCAGCTCTGGGGCAGGT